ATATATATATATATATATCGGATAGAATTTTTCTCTTTTTCTTTTTCTTTAAATACATATTTATTGTTTAACACCCATAGACGTTAACTCTCAAACAGATGAATTTTCGAGACGATTGTGCGATTTTTTTTTTTCTTCTTTTGCGAGAATGATAAACGAAAATAGTAACGTAATAACGTATTAGAGTTAATTGACGTTCTAATACGTAACGTATTGAATTATGCAGACGTTTATAAACGTGATCGAAAATATCACGAAGAATTAGATTGTTGTTTATTAATTATTGTACGTTCGTTTCTTTTTTTTTCTGGGTTAGTATTTTTAATCATATTTATAATTTGAATATTGAATTGTTATAAATAATTATATTGTAATTAAATAAGATTGAGTTAAAAAAGATATATGGAAATATTATTGACGCAACTCCCCGAGAGTAACACTGTACGTCTATTTGTTTTTTAATTAAAAAACTAAGTTTAGGAATAACCATAATAGCAGTATCGAAAATTTTATGTTATATATATATATAAAGTTTCTATTTAATTTATTATGTAAAACAAAATCCACTTATTGGACCAATATCTCTCCCCCCATCTACTTATCTAATGACTATCTATTTAAAATATTAAACTGATCGTTTATTATACAAAATAAAAAATACAAAAAAAAATAAGATTATTTTATGTATTATAAATATTTTCTAATATAATCATTTATTTTTTTTTTCTCTTTATAACATATTCAAATATAAAAAAAAAGAAAAATAATATTCTTCGAAATATTTATATATATATCCACCCTCGCAAAAGCTAACGAACAAAATTACACGCACCCATAAACACGTACACAATTAGATTCAAAGATACACATACATTGTAATCCATGCATTATGATTCAACTCATGAAGAAGAATTTTCAATGCCATAATAAAAGGGTTGAAATGGTGCGTATGGGTGGCGTATGAGTGTTCACGGATAACGGGCTCGAAAGGGAACCCACCTATTGATTTTGACGTGAAAAAAAAAGGGAAGAGAAAGGGTTGGCTCGTTTTATCGGTTAGGTGAATTCCTAACAATTTCGGAATTGGCATTTAAATCTTGTTATTAGCTATTTTCCAATGATATAAGAAATTAATAAATTGATACGTTTTATATATATATATATATAATATAATAAATGAAAAAGTCTTCACGTTCGATAGACAGAAATAATCTCAATGAAATTATATTGAGACCTTGAACGATATCGTATCAAAGAGAGGGAAGATACATCAAAGAGGTATTAGTATAGTGCGTGTATATATAGATACATGTGCATATGTATACGTGTGTAGCGTGCTTTAGGTAGATTCTCGTGAATCTAAAACATCGCTGGTGCCATCAAGTCTCTCTCTCTCTCTTTCTCTCTCTCTCTTTCTCTCTCTCTCTTTCTTTATTTCTTTCTTTCATTTTTTCCTTTACTATTATACAAAGAGCTAAGGGTGCATAAGGATCGATCGTATATAACTCGATTATTATTATTATTATGATTTTAATCTATCAATCTTTCGCGATATATCTAATGTCCCAAGTAATTATGACACTTTGATTAATGATTAAAGCAAAATATTGATTTTTATTTTCATCAATTTGTGTTTATATCACAATTATTTAAATAGTGAGATAAAACGATAAATCGAATTATTTTTCTATTTTTTCTTTTGTTATTCTTTTCTCTCTAATCTATAATTATCTGACATGGATATACAAAAAATAAGGTGATTGAAATAAAATGAAACACTTTGTGATTTTATTTTTATGCTAAATATTAGCAACTTACGTTTAGAACAATCACGTAGCTCTGACGTAGGAAATATAAATAATATGAATAATATGTAGAAAAAAAAGAAGAAGAAGCAGAAGGTAGTGGTTGCACTTTTTCACAAAAGGGACGGAGAGGAGGGTGAACGAAGAGTGGTTCTTCCACGTGCTTTCAAGGTATTTTAAATAACACGAGATTGAAATTTCTCGTTAATTATGATGCACGTTACGATATAGACCAAAAAAAACAGATTATTTTTATAAATTACTCCTTTCTTCGATAGTATGTTTAACACTTGTTTCTTTCGTAATCGGTCCTCTCTATCCCTCGGAACTCATACAAGGGGTGGACCAACCCTCTTATACGATCCATACGTCCGTAGCCAATAACCGGCGACATCTGTTGTACATTATACGAACAAATTTATACGCGTTTACTGTTAACACGACTGTAGGAACGCTGGCAAGGAATCTTAACAGCAGAAAAAAATGAATAAGTGCTCTTAATTGCTAACTATTTGCTTAACTTTATTATATCAAATATTTTGTATTTATCGTTAATTAGTTGAAAATAATTATTACACTTTGAATAATTATGAAACGGCGACGTCATAAGTAGGAGACATGTTATACACATGCGCAACCACAAATTCAAGGCGCAAGCACCCTTAGAAAAAAATGAAAGTAAAGTTGGTATACCTGTAGGGGATATATTTAAAATTGATTTCCAAAGTAACAAACTATAGGGTAGTGAAAAGAAATAAATTAATCGTTTATAATGTATAAACAATGGGTAAATATTTTCATTTTTTAATTTTTTTTCTGCTGTTGCGATTCTATGCCAACTTTTTTTGTGATGAAGTATATAGAAACTCACAAGTCCCCTTTTTTATCTACCAAGCATGATTTTTGTTACCCCTGGGACCACCATTGGACGATAGTATGTACTTAATGCGATGACGGTACAATACTATGTGAGAGAATCGTGGAGTGAGTGGGTGGGTATGTATGTATGTTTGATCTTTTTAAATATGGGTAATAGACAAGCAGGAAGCATACTTAGGTGTGAATGTTTATTTAATTTGTAAGTAGGTAGAGACCGGAGAAGTMRCGCRATTGTWWTKTCCAHTYAGGAGTGGACAATTTCTTCTCCGGATATTATACAAAGTTTCAGCAACCTTTAGATTTATTTATCATTCAAATATTTCTTTTATTTTTTTCATATATTGCTGATACTCTGTACCGCGAGATATAAATTAGTATCGAACGTTTCAAAAGTCTTTGCGTTTTCTTAAAAATTAATTTTTTTTCAAAAAGCGAAGATAGCTGAATACGTTGAATACTTAATTAATATTAAGTATATTAACACTTTGCTCTTTAGTAATTCCTACTGAAAATACTTCATTTTTTATATATGTATAGTAAATACAAAGTAGAATAAAGATAAAAGATAAAAGTGGTCGAGTAAAAAAGTAAGACCATAAGATTTATTACAAAGTTTCTGCTTTTGTTTGATATTATTTAATTTGTTAAATGCAAAGTGTTAATAATAGGTTCATCGATTAGATCAAATATCTGTTGAGGCATTCGAGTAAATGTTAAAAAAAGTCTCACAGCAGCGTTTAGGGCATGAAGAAAGAAGAGGCTAAATGCCGAAGAGGCTAATGCCGAAGAGGCCCCCACAAATTTGTGGTATCGAGTGAGCAACTACATAGACTATTGAGTTATTTTCAAAGGTTCAACAGCAAGTTAGAACTTTTCGAGAAAAGCTCTCTAGCCATATTTTATTATATTACTTTTTTGCTCGTCATTAATTTATAGTTGTAATTGGAGATGATGGACCATTCCATCTCCTTGGGACACCAAAATCGTGTCCATATCGTTCAAAAGATGCATATGTGTTGGTTAGAGTCAAGAATATTAAAATTTTCGTAATATTAAATTTTGAAGCTTAAATAACGTTCGGTAAATATTACTGTAATTTCTTTTTTCTTGTTTCGTCTTTAAAATTTTTTCATTTTGATCGTATTTTATTAAATTTGCAATTTTTCTTTTCTATATAATGCAGCTTAAAAGTATTTCATAATAATTAATAGATTTTATTTTTTGTAGTAACTAATTATTTATACTTTTCCTATTTCTTTATTTTTATATATTTTATGTAAATGTAAAATCACGCGTTTAAAATTAATTTCAATACAACGGTAAATAGAGATTGGATAAAATTAAATAGGGAATTTAAATGAAAAGTTCATCTCTGCGAACTGGACGATTTGTATGTTAGGCTATTGTATCACTTGATTGTATGATTAATATAGTTTTCTTTTTGTTTCAGGTGATCATCTTTGCATTTATCATCTACTCGTTTTGATTTTCTTCTACTTTTTAAAATATATATGTATAAAAAACGCATTTCTGAAGGTGCACACGTATTTAAACACTAAAAATTAAATATAATTATTTTAAATTTTCTTACAATATAACTATACTATATATACTATCAAAGAATATTGTATTATTTGATAGTATTGTACCGTCATCGCGTTAAGTACATACTATCGTTCAATGGTGGTCCCAGTGGTAACAAAAATCATACTTGGTAGATAAAAAAGGGGACTTGTGAGTTTCTATATACTTCACCACAAAAATGTTGACATAAAATCGCAACAGCAGAAAAAAATTAAAAAATGAAAATATTTACCCATTGTTTATACATTATGAACGATTAATTTATTTCTTTTCACTTACTTTCGAATTCAATTTTAAATATATTCCCTGCAGGTATACCAACTTTATTCTCTTTTATCAATATTTTTCAAATAGATAATTATTAATCTTTTTTATACTGAACAATTTATCTTACGAAGTAATAATACTTACCAGAAGTATTTGGAAATATAATATAGTGATCGTATAATTAGAAAAGTGATGAGATAAAAAGTTAAACTTATTTGCTTTTTTTTTTTTTTTTCAATTTTTATTATTTCGTTTAATGTTTTCCGAAATCATTTTTTTATTTCTTTTTAATCATTTATCCTAAACATTATTAATTAAATAAATATATCTTATTATTGCTAATATAATATTTTATTATGGTAGTAGCTTCAAAATCCAATTAAATTTTACAAGGATTATAAAAACAACAAATCTTTTCTAATATTTCTAAAATTGATATACTGATTAAGCGTGTTCTCCATTGTAATCATTTAATTATTTACAAAGCACACAGAGACGAAATTTTTGTTTAAATTTAGAAATGCTAGACATTATTCTTCAACGTCGCTACCATTTTACGTTATACACATCGGATTACAATAATTAATCAATTTTTAAAATCAGTCCGATTCTTACGAATCGTAAGATACAAGTATTTGTTTTTTTTTTTTTTTTAATATATATAATAT